TACTAACCTGAGTGTCTGGCTGCACGTGCTGGTGCAGGAAACCAAACACGAGATCGTAACTATCATCAATCCAAATCATACTGACCTTATCCCATCGTTTGTGCTGGAGATGAAAGATATGTTACGTAAGTAAAGACATATTCAAAGTACAAAATAAACAGAACGTGATTTGTAAAAATGCTCTTATTTTCCTAGTTGAGGTTCTATCCACCAGGTGTTAGCACCTGATAACTAAACATTGGCTGTGTCTATTTTAAATCGGTCAAACTTTAGGTTCAGCTTCATTACTTAGAAAGTTGCAGTTCTGTGAAGCTGAACCGGCATATAAACGTAATTTTAAACTAACTTTCTATTTAAGTTCACAAACTCTTTCTTTTTTATATATAATCAAATAGTCGCTTTTTGTTTTAACGAAATAAGATACATCATTTCAATTCAATTTTACATGTACCCCCACACCCCAGCACAGTACAGCACAGATAGCCCATTGTGTAGCTTTGTGATTGATAAAACACAAACAACTTTACTCATCTTGTTAGCGCCCTCTAGGTTATTTACAGTACTGGCGAAGCGCAAAAAAATAAAATAATCACAGAACAATTTCAACAAGCCAAACTTTCAAACTGATCCAAGTTTAACTTCGAATAAAATTATACAAGGTATTTGTTTGTTTGTTGTTAAGCACAAAGCTACATATTGAATATTCTCTACTGTACCCCTACAGGTATTGAACCATGATTTTTATCGTTACAAGTCCCATACTTATGACTGAATCAGCGGAGATCACGGATACTTAAAGTATTGCAAAAATCAGCATTTCCGCTACATTATTTTCGTCTTTACGAATTAACCCATCTTGAATCTATATTTCATCTTCGTCTAACCAGTACAATTTATATCTGTATTTTCGTCTTTACCTAGTCAATATAAATGAAATCTCTATTTTCATCTTCACCTTATCAGTCCAACTTAAACTTGTATTTTCATGTTTACCAATACAATTTAAATCCGTATTCTCGTCTTTCCTTATCAGTCCAACTTGCCCCCCAGTGGTAAAGCGGTATGTCTGCGGACTTACAACGCTAGAATCCGGGTTTCGATACCCGTAGTGGGCAGAGCACAGATAGCCCATTGTGTAGCTTTGTGCTTAATTACAAACAAAGAAACAGCCTAACTTAAATTTGTATTTTCATGTTTATAACCAATACAATTTAAATCCGTATTCTCGTTTTTCCTTATCAGTCCAACTTAAATTTGTATTTTCATGTTTACCAACCAATACAATTTAAATCCGTATTCTCGTTTTTCCTTATCAGTCCAACTTAAATTTGTATTTTCATGTTTACCAACCAATACAATTTAAATCCGTATTCTCGTCTTTCCTTATCAGTCCATTTTCTTCTTTTTCGTTGTTTTAATTTCGAAAGTTCACGATAAGTATATTTAGCAGATTTTCTTTATTTTTCTCATTAAGGTGTCTTTCCTATCTTACAGACGTTTTGTTTCTTTCCGCTAGATGGAGAGCACAGTTTGGCGGAACGATCAGTGGATCATGAAATGTATGTGGGTCAGGACTGTAGACGTACGAACATCCTCGGACAGTTGGTCCAGGATGCGAGTTCTTTCCTTTTCCCGTGTACCATTGAGTACAGTCTAATCTGTGCTGCCATCTTGTATATCATGTGGAAGAACATCGGGAAGACAAACAGTCGATCAGAGGGCTCTGGCATCCAATCTTCCCGTCATCGAGATCATTACACCGTAGACTGTACCAAGGCCAACAAAGGGCTCTTCACGGGAATCATGGTCCTCGTATCTGCTATTATAAGTTTGATCCTTTTTTTTGTGTTAATCAGTAAAGAATCGTATAAAAGCATGGCAGTTATGGAAGTTCACGTGGTGGAGCTCGCGCTTTACACGCTCACGTCCCTAGCCGTCGTTGTAGCACTAGTACAGGTCAGAAGACTGAAATACAACCCCAACAGGAGTGAAGAGCTGGACAACATCTTGTTGATAATAGCGCAGGGGGGACTATATCTTTTTACGATGTTCAATATCATTGGTGGACACTTCACTATGGATCAGAATACGGTATTGGTACTGTTGTCCGCACTAGCCTGCTTGATCCAGGGCACTTTACAAACTATTTTTATTCTAGACGCTTCCCGTCGGTACTGTAGAAACAGTGACCAGATGAGAAAAAAGCCGGGTCGCGAGATGGTCACTTTTCTTCTGGTTTGTAATTTTGCCATGTGGTCCATCAACACTTTAGAGACCCGCCGAGCAGACTCCAACCCAGTCCAGATGAACTTTTACGGATTCTGGGCTTGGACAATCATCACCCACGTCACTACCCCACTTACCATATTCTTCCGGTTTCACTCGACTGTCTGTCTGTGCGATATCTGGAAACGGAGTTATAAAGTGAGATCAGATTTGTAAAGAAATTCGATGTTTCTACGAACTGAAACGGTTTCCGTCCATGTAGAGAAAAGAAACTTGATGACCGAAGAAAGAAACGTCCTGACAAACTCAGAGTTAGAAGATTTAGTTCATACACCTACATATACCTGACTGATGGGATTTATTAAACATTTGTTTAGATTTACTCTTTAGATGTTCGAAAACTGCCACCAGGTGTCGCAATTATAACAACTCAAAACTCACGAAACCAGAACTGTGCGAATGGGAAACTTCACAAAATATTATATTTTACGTTATTTATAACATTTCACTAAAAGTTAGTAAGTGGTTAAAAAAAACAAATAAATCCCAAAACAACGATTTGTAATGCGAAATATATTACAGTTTTAACACGATAAGAAACTGAAGAATGTTACATAAGGATAGAAAACCTGCAATGGGAAGGTTAAGAACAAAGATCGCTACTTTCTCTGGTCCAGTTCTTGTTTAAGTCCAAGGTTCGATCTGATACCAGAGATTAATTTCTCTCTCTGTTTGAAGCTTGTACGTAACGTTGTTGCTGGATACCACGCAGAACAATAATATAAAACTGTTGGTTGATGTTGTTGTTCAAGACAGCATATAAACTGTTGGTTGATGTTGTTGTTCAAGACAGCATATCAAACTGTTGGTTGATGTTGTTGTTCAAGACTCCAAGACAGCACATAAAACTATTGGTTGATGTTGTTGTTCAAGACTCCAAGACAGTATATATAACTGTTGGTTGATGTTGTTGTTCAAGACTCCAAGACAGCACATAAAACTATTGGTTGATGTTGTTGTTCAAGACTCCAAGACAGCATATATAACTATTGGTTGATGTTGTTGTTCAAGACTCCAAGACAGCATATAAAACTGTTGGTTGATGTTGTTGTTCAATACTCCAAGACAGCATATATAACTATTGGTTGAGGTTGTTGTTCAAGACTCCAAGACAGCATATATAACTATTGGTTGATGTTGTTGTTCAAGGCTCCAAGACAGCATATATATAACTGATGGTTGATGTTGTTGTTCAAGACTCCAAGACAGCATATATAACTATTGGTTGATGTTGTTGTTCAAGACTCCAAGACAGCATATGAAACTGTTGGTTGATGTTGTTGTTGTTCAAGACTCCAAGACAGCATATAAAACTGTTGGTTGATGTTGTTGTTCAAGACTCTAAGACAGCATATGAAACTGTTGGTTGATGTTGTTCAAGACTCCAAGACAGCACATAAAACTTTTGGTTGATGTTGTTGTTGTTCAAGACTCCAAGACAGCATATAAAACTGTTGGTTGATGTTGTTGTTACTTTGCGCTATTAAACCAATCAACCAACGAACAATCATTGTCTGAGGACGAACCTGAGTTGCAACAACAAAGATACTAGAATATTTTCTTCGATATATTTTGTATATTACAACTAGGGAAGAGTGATCATAGTGGCTTATTACAACTAGGGAAGAGTGATCATAGTGGCTTATTACAACTAGGGAAGAGTGATCATAGTTGCTTATTACAACTAGGGAAGAGTGATCAGAGTAGATTATTACAACTAGGGAAGAGTGATCATAGTGGCTTATTACAACTAGGGAAGAGTGATCAGAGTAGATTATTACAACTAGGGTAGAGTGGTCAGAGTGGATTATTACAACTAGGGAAGAGTGGTCAGAGTAGATTATTACAACTAGGGAAGAGTGATCAGAGTGGATTATTACAACTAGGGTAGAGTGGTCAGAGTGGATTATTACAACTAGGGAAGAGTGATCAGAGTAGACTATTACAACTAGGGAAAAGTGGTCAGAGTAGATTATTACAACTAGGGAAGAGTGATCAGAGTAGATTATTACAACTAGGGTAGAGTGGTCAGAGTAGATTATTACAACTAGGGAAGAGTGGTCAGAGTAGATTATTACAACTAGGGAAGAGTGATCAGTGTAGAGTATTACAGCTAGGGAAGAGTGATCAGAGTGGATTATTACAACTAGGGAAGAGTGATCAGAGTAGATTATTACAAGTAGGGAAGAGTGATCAGAGTAGACTATTACAACTAGGGAAGAGTGATCAGAGTAGATTATTACAACTAGGGTAGAGTGGTCAGAGTAGATTATTACAACTAGGGAAGAGTGATCAGAGTGGATTATTACAACTAGGGAATAGTGGTCAGAGTAGATTAT